TGGGAGGGCGCATTGAAATGCCTCTTCCGGTTTTTGCTCCGGTCCGAAGTCACGAAGGGATTGAACTTCATTTTGGCCGCTACTCCTTCAGCGATGGCCCCAAAAGGGAAAAGAGTTACAAGCCTCTTCTTCACGTGTTAATATTAAAAGAGTGTTTTTGTTAGCTGAGAAAGTCTATGAAGAATGGACATTAATGTTAAGCTGCTTTGGAGTAATAAAAAGCGGATTAATGCTAGGCTAATAATCAGAAATGGTAATTGACAAGTAACCATTATTAAACACCACCCCTGTGGGCTACATAATAAACTGCTAAACAAAAAGTCGGTGGTTCAAACCCACTGTGGGAGAATGGTGAGTGTTTCTGCTCCTGTATAGATTTAAAGTCTCAGAAAGCCAAAGGGGCAGTTCTACTCTGTCCTATTGCTTTATGTGACCCAGAATCAACTCAACGGCAGTGGGTTTTGGTTTGGGGTTTATGTTAACTGTAAGGAGTTGTGGTGATGCTGTTGGGTAAGTGCTGGATGGCTAACCACAAGGTCCACGGTTCTAAACCACCAGCTGGTCCAAGAGAGAAAGATGAGACTGTTTGCTCTCATAAAAATATAGTCCTGGGAACCCCAAATACAGTTGCTGTGAGTCTGGATTGAATCAGTGGTGGTAGGTTTGGCTTAGGTTTATGCCAACTGTTATGCTAGGTTTTTAACATCATATTTCTGTTAATTCTTAAAGTAGCCAGCAGATAAACTTTATTATCGTAATTTTTAGATAAAGCTCAAAATGATTGATAACTTGTCCAAGTTACATCGTTCATAAGTGGAAAATTTGGGTTCAAACCCAGATTTATGTGAAATCAAAATTCTTTTCTGATGACACCCTCAAATATATCTGGACCAGTCTTTACCACGCATTGACTTTGTGACATCAGGTCATGGACATCCCCAATTTTCTCTTTTCCAATAGGGGGCATTCCTGTATTTGCAAGAATGACGTGGTGCTAAAAAATGAAATCTTGGTTGTGAAAGCTCTGGTACCATAAAATTTAAGGTATTGCTTTATTTAGAAGAAAGAAAAGAAACCATCTTTCTGGTCTGTTCTAATCTTTCTGCTATTCTCCTTTTAGTACAGAACCATTTTAACTTGATCAGAGCTTTAAAGTGTTGTATATCCTCAAATTGTAGGGCACCTGAAAGGCCACTGGTTTCTCTGACATGGCAGAGGAAAGCCCGTTCACCATGTTGTCGTTAGGTGCCAGCTCCAACTCACAGGGACCTTGTTAGAACCAAAAATCAGCTACACTGCCCGGTTCTGCTCCTCCTCACAAGTGGTCTTCTGTTTTGAGCCGTCTGTGCAGCCACGTCATCCTCTGCTTTGTTTGCACAGAAGGATTTTAAGGATGGAATCACAACCTGTGATCACCGGTCTGCTTAATTGAGTGTGCTCATCTTCCTGAGTTCCGGGTGTAAACTAGGCCCATTGTGGGGTATAATCTGTACTCAACCCGGGGTTTCTTGTCCTCTCTTTCAGTTTGTGGACAACATTTCCTCTCGAGAAGAGATAGACCATGCAGAGTATTACCTTTACAAGTAAGTTTTGTATTACATTTCCATATGTGTTTTTATAACATGGACCTTTGCAAGCGGTTATCACTGTGCCGGTTAAAATATTGATAGCTAACTATGTAAATATGAAAGGACCCTGTGGTTCTGTGATCATGGCTTTGTTGGGTTTTTCTCTTTCAGTTTTGAGATGTAGTGTTTCAAGGAAGGGCTAGCCAGAGCGATGTTTTCTCTAGGAAGGGACCGTGTGGGAGGAGCCCTGGTGGCCGAGTGGGTTACACATTGGGCTGCTCCCTGCGAGGTCAGCAGTAGTAAACCACCAAACCACTTCATGGAAGAAAGATGAGGCTCTCTGCACACTTAGGGTTTAGTCTTAGAACCCCAGGGCACAGTTCTGCTCTGTCTGTAGAGCTGGTGTGAGTCAGACTCGGCTCGATGACGGTGAGGGTCTTTTAATTTGTCTTATATCATCTGGCTGCCTCTGTCTCTCAAGATTCATGGCTTTAGAATATTTATTATAATTTGGGCCTCGTTTTCCATATCTATAGATATCTAATAATCACTTATGTTCAAATATCTTTATTTTTTTAATTTCTAAAAACTTAGTCCTTCCTGTGCTGTTGATAGTTTTTCACGTTTTAAAAATTTTGTTTTGTCTTTCAAAGCTTCGTGTTGGTTTGTACTTTTAGTGAAAGAACTTTTACTGTCTGTTTTTGAGAAATAGCCATACTATCTTTGCCCTACTGTTTATCTTTTAACGTCTGTTTCTTTTTGCTTTTCAAAGTAATGTTTTTTTATTTATTTTTTATTAACCATCTTACTTAGGGGCTCTTAACAAATCTTATGATAATCCATTATTCAATTGTATTAAGCACACTTGTACATATGTTGCCATCAACATTTCTAAAACATTTTCTTTCTACTTGAGTCCTTCGTATCAGCTCCTCTTCCCCCACCCCACCCCCATCTCCTACCCTTTCACCCTTGTGAATCCTTGATCAATTATATATTATTGTTATTTCGTTTCTTACACTGCCCCTTGTCTCCCTTCACCCACATTTCTGTTATTCATCCCTCTGGGGGCTGGACTATATATCCAACCTTGTGATTGGATTCCCTCTTGCCCCTCCCCCACCCCCCACCATCCCCCTACCCTCACCTTGTCGCTACTCCCGCTACTGTTCCTGAGGGTTTTATCTGTCCTGAATTCCATGTCTAGCCAGATTTATAAGGTAGTGAGGTGAGGGAGCATTCAGGAACTAGAGGAACGATGTGTGTTTCCTCGTGCTATACTGCACCCTGGTTAAATTGTCCCTTCCTTGTAACCTTTCTGTGGGGGG